GGGAGAGGCCTGGCAGCGGCTGGGGGAGGAGGGGCCTGGATGCTGGGGGTCATCGCTGGGCGCAGGGCCGGCACTTGGGATTCGCATCCGGAACAGTGGCGGCAGGGGAGGGGTATGCTCTGGCCAGGGCTTTGGGGAGAGGATGGCTGAGTGGGAGAGGCGGCGGAGTTCCCCGTGGCCCTCCTTGCGAGAGGCTGGAAGAGCTCGTCTCTCCCTGGAGGGGGTCTCCACCGCGTTCGGGGTGGGAGGTCAGCCGCAGGATGTGGAAGGGACGGTGAGTGCTGTGAGCGCCCCGACACTGAGCGGGTGTGCAGAGCCTGGCTGCCGCCAAGTATCTCATCTTTACAGTGTGGAGCCCCCTGGAGCTAAAATCAGGATGTTCCGCTTCATGAGGGATGTGGAGCCTGAGGATCCCATGTTCCTGATGTGAGTACTCCCTCCCCCTCATGCTCTGGTACTCATCCCACTCCACTTGAGGTGTCTGAGTAGTTCCTACAGACATGTGGGTTCCCATGGTGTCTACAGTGCTGGCTGGATGCTGAGCTCCAGCTCCATCTTGGAGGGCAAGCAGACATCTGTGCCTCTGTTCCCCAGGACCGGTTTCTTTTGGGGGGAGGGGCGGTTGACTGCTTGGCCCTTCTGCCATCCATACTGTATACTCACTCCACAGGGACCCCTTTGCTATTCACCGTCAGCATATGAACCGGATGTTGTCAGGTGGCTTTGGATACAGCCCCTTCCTCAGCATTACAGATGGCAACATGCCAGGGACCAGGCCTGCCAGCCGCAGGATGCAGGTAATGATGCTGCAGTGTACCTGAGACCCCAAGAAAGGTTGGAGGGTGGTTAGTAAAGCGCTTGATTTTTCTTGCACTACAGCCAGTTTAACAAAGTGGGATCATCTAGGAGTAGGGGGAAGGGGTCTGGAAGAAGGGCTGAGTGATACCCCTTTGAGAGGAGGGTGAAAAACAAGCTGAGGCCATGGGCTAGGTTTGGGATTGCAGTGAGATCGGTTGTGGTCGCTGATGTCTGTTCTTTCTGTGTTCCTGTAGGCTGGGGCCGTCTCTCCCTTTGGGATGCTGGGAATGGTGAGTTCTTATCTCCTTGTGTCCTTCCATCTCAGATACACTCTATACACTTAGATATTACTTCCAAATGTGCCTCTCTAGAATAGCCTTATGGGTAACCCTAGAAACTTTATAGTGTTCTCAAAGCTCTGGGCCTGCTGTGTGCTATGAGTCCGTGAGGTAAAGATGCTAATATTGACTTCTGTCCTTGTAGGAGCCATACTCATTAGGAAAATGTACTTGTCTAGGGAAGTTTGTTCTTTTCAGGAGGGAGGTGCAGGTGAAGGGCCCACTAGACATGGTTTTTATAAGATTACCTGTACAAGTTCATGCCCAACACCTTTACAGGTGAGAGTCCATTGAGTTCGGCATACCTAGGGCAGTCAGGAAAAGGGAAATTGGACCAGAACAGCCGTAGAGGCTGAGGAGGAGGGCTGCAGTATACAGGAAGAGAAACATGTTCATGAAGAATGACAAAGAGCAGTTGCTAGGCGTGAAGGAAGAAGAGAACGGGATGGTGGGTTATCGCTGAGCACTCATTCTGCTTTCCATCTCTCTGCTGCAGTCGGGTGGCTTCATGGACATGTTTGGGATGATGAACGACATGATCGGAAACATGGTGAGACTCCTGTTTCATCCCTTGGCACCACCTTGAGTCCTCAGAGGAGTGGGGGAGAGTGCTAGAGAAGGGGTCAAGCTGGGTAAAGAAACTGAATCCGGAGAGCACTGGGTTTCGGTGTCTGCTCTCATGCCTGAGTGCGAAGCAGCAGCAGCACTCTTATGAAATATGCAGTTAAGGCTCAAACTCTTAAAGTCCTTCTTTTTTATTTATTTTTAAAATATGTTTATATTGATTTTAGAGAGAGAGGAAGGGAGAGGGAAAGCGAGATAGAAACATCAGTTGGCTGCCTCCTGCACATCCCCCCACTGGGGATCAAGCCTGCAACCTGGGAATCCAACTGGCGACCTCTTGGTTCATGGGTTGATGCTCAACCGCTGAGCCACACTGGCCAGGCGGTCCTTTTTTATTGTTGCACTCAGAGGAATTTGGGGGTAATGATGAGTCCTGACATCTTCTTAGTTTTCACATTTTGTGAGGAAGATATGAGCAAGAACAGGCAGCTGAAGGGTGGGATCCTGTCTCCAGAGCCCCGTCCCTTCAGGCCCACTGGACCCTTTCCTTCTCAGGAACACATGACTGCTGGAGGCAACTGCCAGACCTTCTCATCCTCCACAGTCATCTCCTACTCCAATACGGGTGACGGTGCCCCCAAGGTCTACCAGGAGACGTCAGAGATGCGCTCGGCACCAGGCGGGGTGAGTTGGAGAGCTTTTCCTCTCAGAGAAGGCAGGATTTGAATGGCAGCCACAGAAACCCTGCCTTCTTTTTTCAAGATTGAGTTGTGGGTGGTTTGTCTGTCCCGGGTTGGTGTGGCCTGGGCTTTGGAAGGGGCAGCTGAATGTGCGGTGTTCTGCCTCATCCCAGATCCGGGAGACTCGGAGGACTGTGCGGGACTCGGACAGTGGACTAGAGCAGATGTCCATTGGACATCACATCCGAGATCGGGCTCACATCCTCCAGCGCTCCCGAAACCACCGCACAGGGGACCAGGAAGAGCGGCAGGACTACATCAACCTGGATGAAAGTGAGCCTTCCTTGCTGCTCACCACCCTTCCAGCTTCTCTTCCAGTAGCCCCTAGTCCAGTTTCTGTGAACTAGGAGATACCAGCTTTTTCTCCCTACATCCATAGATATTTTTTTGGGCAAAATATGGTGAGCCCCATATTTCTTTTATTTTTTTTTAACATTTTTGTTGATCTCAGAGAGGACAGGAGAGAGATAATGATAGAAACATCAATGATGAGAGAGAATCATCCATCAGCTGCCTCCTACATGCCTCCCATTGGGGAGCGAGCCTGCATCTCGGGCATGTGCCCTAACTGGGAATTGAACCGTGACCTCCTGGTTCATAGGTTGATGCTCAACCACTGAGTCACACCTGCCGGGTGATGGTGAGCCCCATATTCTTACCTCTCTTGGAGGCTTGTCAGCTTTGGGGCTGAGTCAGGTCACCAGGGAGGGGCAAACTCTGTCACCTAAGTGAGAGATTGATAGTAATCTACCCTCTCCAACTGGATCCATTTTTGTTTTTGTTTTTTTCTCTAAAATCAACAAATATTTATCAAATACTTATTGTGTGCTTGGGACTCTGCTCCTTAAGTAAATAATTATCCCATTCCTGAATTCCTTCTGTAGTGGTCATGCCTTAGGCCTGTTAGTGGCTTCTAGGAAGCACTTTGAACCAGAAATTGCTAAATAAGCTTGCCCTCCCCCACACATCCTATACCCCTACTCTCAGCAGTTTCAGTCGTAGAAGCCTGTGGCTCACCCTTGCATCTCCCTCTGGAAGCCAGGCTGTCCACAGGTGGTGTCTGGTCTCTGTCTTCTTCAGGTGAGGCCGCAGCATTTGATGATGAATGGCGGAGAGAGACCTCCCGATTCCGGCAGCAGCGCCCTCTGGAATTTCGAAGGCATGAGGCTTCAGGGGGTGGAGGCCGAAGGACCGAGGGGCCTCCCCGCCTGGCCATACAGGCACCTGAGGACTCCCCCTCCCGACAGTCCCGCCGCTATGACTGGTGAGGGCCCTGGGCCCTCAGCCTCTCTTGTAAGTATTTGAGGGGGAGGAATTGTAAGATGCCAAGCACAGGAGGGAGGTTGGGCAGAGTACCTGTGCCCATTACTCTGCTGAGGCAGAAACAGTCCAGGTGCCTAGCAAATACTGCCTTCGATAAAAGTTTTAGTTGCTACGGAAAGAACTCTCACCAGAATAGGGATTAAACCCCAACTCCTGGCTTTTATCATTTGTCTTCCTTTTGACTTGTACTCATCTCTCTCCCCCTCTAGGTACAGGCTGAGAGGCTGACAAATCATCCCCCGATATAACTTTTTCCTCTCCAACTCCCACTCCCACTTTAATATTAAATTAACAGGCAAGCTGGCCCCCCACTCTCCCTGGAGTCTCAGGGAGAACGTTTCACTGCCCCCTTTATCTACATTTTCCTTCTTTAATTCCCTTCCCAGTGACTCCACATCTCCTGTATCCACTAACTTGATTTTTCATTTTGCTGCTCCATCTTTGAACCTCCTCACCTTCCCCATTCTACCCCTGCCATACATTGAAGGCTTTTGTGGGGAGCTCTGGGTGTAGGGGCCTCCTCCCTCCCTCAGCTACCTTGGACCTTTGCCCACCTCCTTCTCAGATCCCCTGCTGCAAGGGTCATAGCCCTCATTCAGGGGGCTATGTGGAGAGAGAGGACTGGTTCTCACCCCCTTCTCCCTTCCCATCTCCTACACATCACAGAAATCTCCCCTGTGTCCTCTACCTTTATTTTTTGTTTGTGCAACTTGTAACTAGGTGTTTAAGGAATAAAGGAGAATGGGGAAAAAAACCAAGTGGCATTCTGGCTTTACTTTTAATCTTTTCCCTGTTCAATTTCAACCCTCTTGTCTCCTCCTCGTCATTTCCTTTCTTCTGTCTTCATGTGTGGCCTTCATAACTCAAGTTCAAGCCCAGTGCCTCAATGGTAATGACATTGGGACTGGCAGATGGGAAGCAGCAACGGAACTCAGCTGGGCTGGATGAAATGTAAGCAGCTGTCTTCCCTTGCTTTTGCTGTAACTTCATTTGTCAGGGGAAATGTAGGGCATATCTCATAGGTGCCTGAGGAATTCGCTGCCCCTTGTCCCTCAGGCACAGTCTCTCCCATGGACTGTGGGTGGGAACACTTGTGGTACAGAGCAGGAAGGAGTCCAAATAACCCTACGCAGGCCTTCAAGTGGGAGGAACTCTGGGGTCAGCAACATTCCACCAAACATTCTTCAAACCCTCCACTGCCAGTTGTTGAGAATTTGAGCCCAGTGAAGGAGACCAGAGGGGAAAACTAACCTGGAACCTGAGCGGTACTGGAAGGGCATGAAGTGCTCAAATTTCTCAAGACATTCACTCTTGCTTGACCTGGCTCAGGCAAATGGGTCACTCTGTTTCTCCTGGGAACCTATTAATGATGACAAATGCTTGTATGAGTTTAATGATGGTTTCCACTAATTAAAAAAATCTTCAGTTCTTTTCAGTTGGTAAACAAAGGCAAAACATCCATCAACCACCACCCAAAATTCAAGGCTCTGAGTCCTCTCAGCAAAGGGAGGTTTTAATGGATAAATAGGTTCAAGAGGATTTGTCTAGTTGCTCAATGAGCAGAGGGATGATGTTGAGCTCAACAACCAAACACTGACTTTGTAGTCCAAGGCAGGTGTTAAATCTTATTAAATAGGGTTGGTGAAGAGGCATGACCAGGGTCAAGGGAACCAATTCAATGGCTAGAAGAATCCAAGAATGCTCAGTTGGGTGAGTGTCATCCTGTGCACTGAAAGGTCACTGGTTTGATTCCCAGTCAGGGCACATGCCCAAGGTGTGGGTTTGGTCCCAGTTGGGGTACTTACAGGAGGCAACTGACCTGTTTCTCACATCGATGTTTCTGTTTCTGTTTTTCTCTCTCTCTCTCGGTCTTTGTCTCTGTCTCTCTCCCTCCTTTTGATGTTTCTCTCTCTCCCTCTCCCTTTCTCTCTAGAAATTAATAAAAACATAAAAACAAAAAAAACCACACCAGAACCCAAGAATTCCAGAGGTTAAACAGGTATAGCTAATCCAACCTCCATCTGGGTGCTGGGTGCTGAGTTATGGTTGATGGAACTCAGAGTGTCTACAGCCCTCAGCTTCAAGTATAATCTGCTCTGTCCAGATAGACACATGTTTACTTCCTCTAGCAGGGGGAGTAGCCTTAGTCTCCTGAGGAGGCAGCACATGAAAAAGCACTGGAGTTACAGAAGGAGCCCAGAGGCTGGGTCTTCAACTCAGCTCTGCCACCAACCTAGCCATGTGGTCTTGGGCAGGTCATTCATTTCCCTGGACCTCAGCTATGTAGGTTCCTCCTAGCTACAAAATCTTAGGCTACAGCAGTGCCCAATCTCAACCTGAATTTCTGTGCCAGCACCCACACATGGGTGTAGTTCTGAGTAGGGGCTGTAGCAGGGCAAAGGCTGCCCTTATTGCCATCTAGGTGAGTCACTCCAGTGTTTCACAAGCTCTCCCATTTGGGTTCTGGCTTTCAGACACATGAACTAATTTTCACCCCTGCTCCCTGCTCTTGGGTGAGGTCCACCCTTCAACCCAACACTTATTCCGCAGGCCTGTGACTCTAGTTCTCAGCAGTGATATGTTGTTCCAACAGTTATCTACAACTCTGGGGAAGATTCTTCATCTCTCAACATCAGTTTCCTGTTTTGTAAAATGGGCCTTTCTTGGCACTGGTGGCAGTGGTGACGTGGATAGTACAGAGAAAGCTTTTGACCCAGTGCATGGAATATAAATGACTGATTTCTCCCCAGTTACTCTGTCTCAGTCTGGTTCCTTCAGTGCTCTCTGTGGTCCTCATCCTTGATTCCATCCACAGGACTCCTCAAATACTTCCAGACACAACCAAACTTCCATCTTACTGGCCTTGAATCAGCCTCAAGCTCTCCGTTCTTCCAGCTACCAACTATCATCTTTCACCCTGTCATCGCTCAGTTCACAGACCAACAAGTAGAAAGAAATGTTTTGGGCCATTCTGATCCCGTCCCCCTTGCAGTTTGAGATTTTCCCTCCTTCTGTGCTAACAAAGGGCTTCTGGTTCTAGTAACACCTTTTACTCAATGACGCCTACTCAGTACCCGAGTTATATATAAACAGGCTACCCAGAGAACGAGGGCTGGTCTCCTAGCCCACATATTCCAGGCCATTTAACTTAATATACCTATCCTGCCCTTAAGCTCCCAGTCCTGGGAATGAGGCTGAAGGAGCAGCAAGAGTCAAGGATTCCTTCTCTTGGGCCATTCCAGTTGGGCTAGGAACAAGAAAAAAGTAGTCTTTCCCTTTCTCTCCCTTAGACATCACTGGGGGGCTTCAGATAGGAGAGGTGGGAGCCAGGTGAAGCCGCACTAGAGGAGGAGAGATGACGATAGGGACAGTTGGGCAGAGGAGTTGCTGAAAGATAAGAGTAGACTTTGTATAGCTGGTTCCTGTAAGGAGCCTCCCAACTTGCCTCCATCCCTGGGGAGAACCGGCGGGGGGCATGGAGCTGGAATGGCTGGAGGGAAGATCACTAAAGGGGTTTTGCCTCCATCCCTGGGGAGCTGGAATGGCTGGAGGGAAGATCACTAAAGGGGTTGGGATGCAGAAGGCTGGCAGAGCTGCTAGAGAAGGTGAGCCTAAAGTCCCCCTGTGGAGTGCTGTAGCTCTGAGCCTTCCCAGCCTCTATGTCTACCTTAAGTGGATTTCCAGGGACAAGGAGGAGCAGTGGTGCTTCCTGCTCTGGGCCCAGGTCCTTGTCCTCTAGACTGTCCCTGAGGTGAGGTCAGAATTCCTTGCCCTTTCTCTGCCCTTTATGATTCTTCTCATCGTCCCTGAAGACCTTATCTTTTGGAGAATGGGGTGCTGCCCCAGCATCCGTCCCATTCTCTTCATCTAGCCTGTCACCTGCCAACTGGAGAACTTACAGGTTCTGGACAATTATCCCCAAGATGTCAGTGTTCTCCACCCAGGATGTCAGCCATATGTCTGTGGGGTCTGAGGCGAAGGACATTTGGATACATGAAGCTGGAGGAGGGGAGAGAAGGGGGCATGGGAAAGGGCTAGAGATGTGGGACTGAGTCTCTAAAAGAGGGAGCAGAAATACCTTGGAAAAGTCAAAGTGACACAGGTGGAAAATGGTTTGAGGAAAGTTAGCAAAGCTAGGCTCTTAGAAAACTACTGGTGGGATCTGGGTGGGGGGTGGGTTCCCAATTCACAGAGAATGTGGCAGGGAAGGACAGAAACCGATTCCCAATATAGATAGCCCTTGATTTAAGCAAACTAAGTATATGATATAATTTTGGAGTTGAAAGAGACCTTAGAGATCACCTCTGTATGTTCCCAAATGTGCCAGCAGTTCAGAATTATCACCCCAGCCTACTAAAGCAGAATCTTGAGGTTGGAGAGGATTCCAAGGTAGCTTAGCAACAATTACAGAGATCCAAACCCCAGCTCCTATTTTACTGTGGAACAGAGGTGACTCGTTGACCATCATATAGCTACCTAGTAGCACTGCAAGAGCCAGGACTCAAAATCCAGATTGACACAAATGATACTAACATGCTGTACAGAATGACTCACAATGGGGACTCCTTTAAATGAAAAGTTCCTCAGTGATTTAAAGTTTTTAAAAAATTTATATTAAATTTACCCAACAGCATAGTTTTAAAACAATGGATTGCCAGTAGCCCAGTACATGTTTTTTTAATCTTGTATTTGTTTTTACATACAGTAAAGCTGCTGTGTGTACAGTTTCTATGAGTTTTAACACATAATAGATTTGGGTAAACCAACACAATCAGGATAAAAACAGTACCATTACCCCCAAACCCTCTCCTGCTGCTCTTTGTAGTCACACCCTTCCTCCAATCCTAACCCTTGGCAACCACTAATTTGTTCTCCATTGCTAGAGTTTTGCCTTTCCAGAATGTTGTATGATGAAGTCCTATAGTATGTAACCTTTTGAGAGTGGCTCTTTCATTCAGCTTTATTTAGCCCTTGAGATTCACTCATGATGTTGTATGTATTAATAGTTCGATCCTTTTTATTGCTGAGTTGTATTCTACTGGTTATTGTCTGTTTATCCATTCACCAGTTTTTGGCAATTATGAAAAGAGTTGCTATAAACATTTCTATATACGTTTTTGTGTGAACATAAGTTTGTTTCTTTAGAATGAAATGGAGTGGGATTGCTAGGTCATATGGTAAGTGTATATTTAACTTTATAAGAAAATGATAAACTGTTTTCCTGAGTAGCTGCGCCATTTTGTATTCCTACCAGCAAAGCAAGAGTTCCAGTTGCTTTGCCTCCTTGCAAGCAGTTGGTATTGTCAATTACTTTATTTCACCCATTCTATTGGGTGTGTAAGTATTCTATTTATTCTAATAGATATCGCATCATGATTTTAATTTGTATTTCCCTGGTGACTAATGATGTTGAGCATCTTTTCATGTGCTTATTTGCCATCATTACAGTCTCATTAATAAAGTGTGTAAGTCAGCCATTTTTCAAAATTGGCTTGTTTATTTTCTTACTGTTGAGTTTTTAGGGCTCTTTATATATTCTGGTTAGCTCTTTGTTAGGGATTTACATGTATTTTTCCCCCTATTCTGTAGCTTGTCTTTTCCTTTTCTTGACTTTTTCTCCCCCCAAGCAAAAGTTCTGAATTTTAATGAAGTCCAACTTACCACTTTTTTTCTCTTATGAATTAACATTTTTGGTGTGGCATCTAAGAACACTTTGCTAATTCCAGAAACTAAGATTTTCTCCTATGTTATCTTCTAAAAGGTTTATAATTGTATATTTTTACATCTTTCTCTCCTTGGGTGAGTTTTGGTAGCTTGTAGCTTTGAAGGAGTTGATCCATCTCATCTAAGTCATTGAATTTGTGTCATATTCCCTTAACTTTTTAATTTTTAAAATATATTTTTATTGGTTTCAGAGAGTAAGGGAGAGGGAGAGAAACATCAATGAGAGAATCATTGATTAGCTGCCTCCTGCACGCTCTCTACTGGGCATATGCCCTTGACCAGAATCGAACCCAAGACCCTTCAGTCCCGCGGGCTCTATCCACTGAGTCAAACCAGCTAGGGTTTATTAACTTTTTAATATCTGTGGGGTTTGTAGTGGTATCTCCTCTTTTATTCCTGATATTAGAAATTTATGTCTTCTCTATTCTCTCTTTTATCAGTATGGCTAGAGGTTTATTAATTTTATTGATCATTTTAAATAATCAACTTTTGGTTTCATTGACTTTTTCTATTTTTCTGTTTTCAATTTCACTAATTGCTGCTCTTGTTTTTCTTCTGCTTGCTTTGTGTTTATTTCTCCAATTCTTTATATACCTTTTCAAGGTACAAATGTAGATTGTTGACTTCAGACTTTTCTTCTTTTCTAATATAAGCATTTGATACTATGATTTTTCCCTTAGTCACTGTTTTAGCTGCATCCAATATATTTTGGTATCCTATATAATAAAAGGCGAATATCCAAATTGTCCTCTCGGGAGTTCGACCAGACTGGGAGTTTGCTCGCTCGCTATGATGTGCACTGACCACCAGGAGGCGGTGCGGAACATGGCGGGAGACCAGCTGCAGTGGTGGTGGGGCGCTGAGGGAGCAAGGGAAGGAGAAGGCAGGGAGGTGGCGAACCTGATGGGCCCTGGTATCAGGTCAGGCATAGGGACCCTACCCTACCCGAATTTCATGCACTGGGCCTCTAGTTTTATATATTTCTTATTAAGTCCACAATATTTTCTAATTTCTCTTTGATCCATCGGTTATTTAGAAATGTGTTTAGTTTCCAAATGTTTAGAGAGTTCCCTGCTAGCTTTCTGTTATTGATTTCTACTTATAATTCCATTATGGTCAGAAAACATAGTTTGTATGACTTTGATTCTTTAAATTTGTTGAATTTTATGACACAGGACAATATATCTCAGTAAATGTTCAATGCACACTTGAAAGTAAAAAGTGTATTCTTCTGTGTTAGGGGAGTGTTTTATAAATTTCAATTAGATTCTCTTGGCTGATGGTATCATTTGGTTTTATATACTTCTATATATTTGGTCATTTTCTGTTTACTTGTTCTGTTGATTACTGAGAAAAGAGTTTTGAAATTTTCAATTACAATTGTAATCTGCCCATTTTTCTTTTGACATCTATCAGTTTTTGCTCTATTTATTTAAAAAACATATTTTTATTGACTTCAGAGAGGAAGGAAGAGGGAGAGAGAAGAAACATTAATGATGAAAGAGAATCATTGATTGGCTGCCTCCTGCACGAACCCTACTGAGGATTGAGCCTGCAACCCATGCATGTGCCCTTACCAGGAATCAAACCTGTGACCTCTTGGTGCATGGGTCGATGCTCAACCACTGAGCCACACCAGCTAGGCTGAACTTTATTTTATTTATTTATTTATTTAAATATATTTTA